TCTCTACTCTCTCCCGCTGTCGCGGCGGGCAGACACATCGAGTGGAGCTCGAGGAGGTAAGACCGACCGAGTTTCGGTTGTCGGAGGAGGCACACAACGCTCGCGTCGCGCAGCTCGGCGTCAGCTGGAGTTTCGCTGGCGCGTGTGCGCGAGGACGCAGGTGCTGACGACAGTGCTTTTGTTTTCGACTGTAGTGGGGTGGGGTGGGGGTGGGTGTGGGGTGGGTGCGAGGTATGAGCAAGTACCGCGGCACGTGAGGAGGGCCAGTCCTGGTGGTCGAACGGGGAGGATGAACGGGACCGCAGCGCTGCTGCGCGGCCCAGAACAGCATCCTGGCAGGTTCGCCGACTACTTCGTCATATGCGGCCTCGACAAGGACTCCGGCCTCGAGCCCGACAAGTACTTCGGTGAGTCAGAACGGTCTCGCGACCCCGACGGGGTTGGGCCACCCGGTCGAAAGGATTCCGGTATTCCGCAACGCCAGCTCCCGCACCTCGCACCCTTCGCTGAACCCCCTTCATCTCCGTACTCGCGTACGCACGTTCGCTCGCACTCACGCACACTCGTCCTCCTCCTCCTCCTCCTCCTCGTCATTCTCCTCCATTCGACCCCGGGAGCCGCCGCCGCCGTCACCCCTTGTCCATCCCCTGCACCCGCCGCTCAATCGACGACAGGAGAGGGCCGAACTTATTCCGTGACTCCCTAGGGAAGCGATTCTCTTTCTCTTTTTTTTTTTTTTTTTTTTTCTGTTAACTTGCTCCCGGATGAGAAGAACATCCCGTAACATCGGTGGAATGGCGTGCACCTCTACGCAACATTAAAAGAGCAAGAGCTTTCGTAGTAGCGCGGCGGGATGTGTCAATCGTGCTTGCTTCGGCGATCGTTCGACCAAAGGTTTCTGTCCCTCGACACTCGCACGGCGGGTATCTCGCCACCTCTACTACTAACACACACACACACGCGCGCGCGCGCGCACACCCACACCCGACTAACCCCGCACATCCCGGCTTCCCCCCTCATCTCGAATGCAAGAGGAATTCGCGGGAGCAGCAGAGCCCAATAGTCCCGCTATCCCGAACGACAATCTCTCGCATTCTTGGGTATTTTTACAATAAAAAGGGGTAAGGGGGAAAGTGGTGGGAGAAAGCGAGTTGAAAATTTTATATTGACACTCCAGTACCATTTATTATATTATATTATACGTGTATAAGGAAATAAGCGGGGTCAAAGTGTTGGAGACTCATTAGGTTCGTGCGCGAATTGTTGACCGGGTGCTCGCAAGGGCACCTCGAACCTCGTTTATCCCTCTAGCAAATAACAACATCGAGATGTCTAGGTACTTTCTCTAAAGTGCGTTTATTGTCCGCGAATTGAGAAGACGAGAAAATTGCGAGTGTCATTAAAGCAGGCTGCGTTGCCGGTCGCTCGAGCCATCTCTCTCTCTCTCTCTTTCTCTCTCTCTCTCTCTCTCTCTCTCTCTCTCTCTCTCTCTCCCGTCTCCTCCCATCTCCTAGTTGTAAACAAGTTGTAAACAAGCGTTGTCGCGCGCGCTTTTTCTCTCTCCTTTCTCCATTCATTTTGTCGCTTTACTCGTTTGTTGTCATTTCTTTTTTTCCTTCTCTTGTTTTTTTTTTTTTTTTTTTTTTTTTTTTCTTTTTGCATTTTTTATTTATCGTAGGCCGAGGTCGTTGGCTCGACGATTTTATCGGAGCTGCTCGGTGCGCAGCTGCTCGTGTCTCGCTCGATCTTCTTGTCGGCGATGGACGGACGCGATTCTCGCTCGGCTTTGTCGAAAGGAGCTCGAGCTCGTCCGCCCGCTCGTCGTTTGTTCTCTTCCCGGCCTATTTTAGCGTATCGCGCGAGTGACGCGCACAAACACCCCGAAAAGCACTCGGGTTCTTTGGTGACATGCCTCGTACGTGAAACGAAACTCTGGATCGCACGGCGAAGTACTCGTGCATGCAAAGAAAAAACCACTGAAGTGTCTATCTATCTCTCTCTCTCTCTCTCTCTCTCTCTCTCTCTTCATCTGGATTTTTTTTATTGTACCTGATGCGCAGACTGACATCCATCCCCCATCCTCTCCGCCCCGTTCATTCGGCTTTCATTGTATTGGTTCCGTTTTACTGAAATCATATCAAGGCCATCTGCTTTATTGTAGATGACGATGACATCATTCTATCGTTTCTTTTAAATGCTCGTCTCATTTTGTAGTACTGCCTTTTTTCTTTACTGTCTTCCTCTCGTTCGTTCATTTCTTGCTTTTTAATAAAGCCTCGGCATGCACGAACTAATCCACTCGCGATTAAAGATGATGAAATTCTTTGGAAAAAGTGTTAGGAACGACGCTATTCCGGAGTAGTAGCGCGACGTCAAATATATAAATTTCCGTGCAACGTACATTGTCGATCGTTGGAAGTTTGGTGAAATGAAGATACTCGAGTGGCCATCTGGACACCAAGTTATTCGATTTAAGGTTAAGAGATTAACGTTAGTAGTTTGATAAAAATGGTCGTACGACAAGCGTTCTCGTGATAAACAGTATTCTTTTTTTTTTATTTATTTTTTTTTTTTTTTCATCCCACTTACGTTACATTCCGCTCGTGAGATTATTTTTATCTCCCGTAGTATCTCTAATAATTGTAGTATTACGCTTTAAATATATTATGCCCTGTTTTTTAAGCACCAAAACGTTATTTGTCTTTTTTATTATACGACGTTTCGACTTTTTAATAAGCAATGTCATTTTCTTACATTCGCGTAGTATTTATAATTTATCGAGAGCTGTCTGTTAAGTGTGTCAATACGATTGTCTTCCAACTCGCATCTATATTTTCGTATATCCCCCCTCCCCCTCCCCCTCCTTACCCCTACAGTTCAGTAATCGAATTGTAATGATTGTAAAATTATGAGGAATATAGTGAGTAGAAGTTAATCCTGATAAAGTGTAAACATTTTCTGAAAAATCTCATTAATTCAATATTAAGAGTGACGTGCAGAAATTGTTGTAAATTTACATGGTCGTAGATTTAAATATTTAGTTACATTGCAATGTTTATATAAATTTTGCTTATAAACTAATAACTAATAAATCGGAGTTAACGAATTATTGTAATTATGCAATTATTGAAGTTTATTTTAGATGAGTTTATTCTAAATGAAGTATCGAAAGTGACATTTTTCAACTTTCATTTCAAATAAATTTCGTAGCTTGATCGATAATTTTTTACTTTCGTAACTGTATTAAATAGCTACGCGCAAACTTTCTTTAATATGCTGAGCAATTCATTCTTGAGCAATTGACTTAAGTTGAAAGAAAATTAATAAATTGCTAATATAATGACGAATGGTAATCAACACTTTCATATCCGTCTTTTGATATTTCAATAAAATCGATGATGAACAACGCATCGAGATTCTGAATTGTAACTGCTTGTAACAACATGTCGTATTGGAACAGATAAATTTCATTTATTTTATCAAGATAATTTACATATTGTATGACATAACTAAACATTAATTTTAAATTCATTTAATATAATTATGCGTAAACTAACGAACTAGACTTGTTATTTATCTATTCGATTAGTTTATTACAGTAAATTATTATAAGACGATGAAATTCCCAAAAGACGCACGATAATTAATTCAATAACTTTGTATCTTAATTTGTATTGTCAATCATTTGATTTATCTTTCGTATTATTAATGATAACGATAACAACAACAACAACAATAAGAATAATAATGATACATAATAATACGCTCGTATTAATGGAAATATGCAAAAGTATAATGTAACGAAAACTTTAAAAATCAATTGGCAAATTTATGTGAACAATTATGGAGGATGCATGTGTTGAGTTGGGGGGTGCAAATTTTCTCCAAACGCTTCGAATATTTATTTTCAATAGGCTAAGCAACGTATTCCCACGCGTAGCTTTACGCGTATCAAACTTTGTCGTGTCAAAATGTATCGACGTCGAATTAATTAATTGGCCAATGCATTTAACAAAAGCGAACGAATGAGTAAGTAAATAATTAAATTCTTCTGGCTGCGCGTAGTTACCTGCGAAACCTTATAAGCGACGCTTCATCAGTCGCGATATATTTGAAAAACAAAATTACTCTGTCAAACAATGTTTCGCAGCCGTGTACACATTACGTAAACCTTGGATTTTAATGGACGCTATTTTTTTTTTTTTTTTTTTTTAATATTACAGGCGCAATATGGCAGGCATTTAAATACGTTTAAAAAAAAACTTCCCTACAAATATACCGGCAACATGATCTCCATGAAACGTGCGATGTGACTTTACGAGCCTAAAAATATGCGAAAGTGCGCGTCACTTACATGGAAGAAAAGCAAATTAAACAATGCAATTAATATGTGCAAAATAGATAAAAAAAAGAAGAGGAAAAAATTTTATTATTATCGTGCGGGGATAGAAATTTTAAAAGCACCAGCACCACGCACTTTTTATACGGCACTATTGCTCCAATTTATTTATAAAGTATTCGTAAAAGATAAGCCGGTAATATAATGTTCAATAGGCCACGTCCGGGGTGGGGTGGGGTGGGGGGGGGGGGGGGACTACTCTTTATCATAAAAATAAAAGTCGGAAACAAGTCGATGATGCGAGAATTCAGCCGGACCACGCCGTAGTCCAATTGTTTCGCTACGGTCTCTTGGGCAAAAAATCGATATCGCCGGATGTTAAATTGTGTTTGCATAAGGACGCAACCACATCCGATAGGCAGATGCGGAGCCTCTCGAGGCGGCATCTGCGTCTGGCCACTTCTCGTAATGCTCCGCTTGCGTTATGAGATCCCGAGAATCTGGGCGCGATGCGGGAGGCTGGAAGCGAACCTTCCTGGGAAACTCGGCCTGGCAACAAAACGCGGGACGTTTCGTGCTGCGTGTATGGCGGGTGCATTATGGCTCCTCGGGCCTTGACACTCGGACAATGGCCCTTAGGATCCTCATGAGACAATGCCAGAGCCTCGACTGACAGCGCGACCTTAATAATTCCCTATTGGGAGTAGTAGCGGGGAATCGGTGCTGGCCTCTTCAACATCAACCTCGCGCTTTAAAGACGTTGGAGGGATTTTCATGGGATGGCGGCTGTTGAAAATTTCCCCTGAAAATTTAGCGAAGGTGATTCAAGTTCAACCGGAAGATTAAGAGACTCCGAGCCTTGGTTCACCGACACCCCCGACGAATTCAATCTTTAAAAGCACGCGGGATTGAAAATTTGGCGCTTTTATTATCATTATTGGGATATCAAAGCCTCGGCCATGCAAAATTACGACCAATTGACGACCTTTTAGTGATTGTGTATATCTTCGTCTTGTATGGCTAAGGCATAACAATAATTCGCAATAATACGTTGCAAATTGCCGTTAG